CTGCAGGGCGGCGCCGGCGGCGGCGGCGGCGACGGCAGCAGCTTTTCGGGCCAAGAGATGCGTTGAGCGGCGCCCGGCGCTCGCCTCGCGTTTGCAGCCCCTGCGGTCTCACCGCCCGTGGGCGAGCGGGCCCTCTAATCCCCCTTCCCTGCCGCCACGCCCGCCTGTGCGGCGTGGGGCCGGCGCCAGCGCTTCAAGCGCTCCCTCACGCGCGCGCACGCTCTCCGAGAGTGCGCCGCGCCGCAGTTGCCCTCTCGCTATCCTTCGTTACCCTCAATTTCCATTCCTGAACCGGCGGTGCCCCGGCGAACGCGAGAGTGAGAGAGCGGGCGGCGGCCGCGCTTCATTTGTGAGCGAAGCGACCGGCCAGGCCACAGGCGCCGGCGGCGGCGATCGCTTGTGGAGCCCGCACTCGCGGCCCGGCCGCCCGCAGCGCTACCATTTTCCCCGCGCCCGCCCGGCCGCGCCGTTGAGCCTTAACATAGCATTAGCATAACGCGCCACCGCCCCGCCAAGTCGAGCGGTCGCATAGCCCCAGGCCCGGCCCTCTTCAGGGGGGCTCGCCTGCACTGTAATATCCGCACTGTCGGGGAGCCGGCCGCTCGCAGCTGCCCAGAGCAACCGCAGCGCCGGCGGCGGGTGCGGGCCGCCGCCAGCGGCGGCAGCACCTCAGCGCACGCGCGCGTGTGGGCTGGGCGGGGCGATAGCGCGGGGAGCCAGCGCCCGGCGTCGCTGTTAGGCCTTTGGGTCGGGGCTGCTGGCAGCGTTGTCCTCAATAAGCACAGCCACAGCCTGCGCCTCCGATGGCGTCCGCCCAGAGACGGCACTGCTTTTCAGTGTGGCTGGGGGCGCTGCTCTGCGCACGGAAGCTGGCGGGCAGCTGGGCAGGTGGCGGTGGCTGGCGCGAGCAGAATCGACGTTGACCCGTTCTGAATTCCGGTGCAGCCGCTCGCGCTTGAACTTGCATACTGTTACATTCAGAAGCGTGCGCACGCGTCGGGCGCGAGGGCATTGGGTGGAGGTGCGGCGCGCGAGGCGGTCGGCGGCAGCAATATGGGGGGCCGGGGGCAGCTGAAATAAAGGCGCCGCGCGCCGCGTGCCGCGGGTGCAGTGGGCTGCAGCGCAAGGCTGTGCAGGGGGCCCAACTTGACCAAGGTGCTGATCAAAAACAAGGTGGTGCAGGGGGCAAAAACACAGTCCTACTGCTCGCAGTGCGCGTTGACGAGCACAGATGATACATCTTAACCACAACTTGTTGCCCCGAGATCGGCATAGAATAGCCCGTGGACGTGGGCTGATGCTGCCATTTGCTGGCATGCAGGGCGGCGCGACAGGCGACCGGCACCAGAATCCAGTCCGCAATGAACAAAGCAGGTTCAACAGACCTCGCAAACACAGGAAACAGGGCAGCGCAGGCGGAAGCAATAGCCGCAGACGCTCCTGAATCCGTTGAATTCAGCGCCAAAACTGCAATGCCCTGATGCAGTTTGTGACCACAAAACGCATGCCTCATGCTGTAGCCTGCTGCACTTGACTCAGTCGCTTGAACGCCGGGTAATGGGGAGTCTTGCCAAAACGGATGGCAGAGCGCGTGCTTTGAATACGCAACGCGCAGCGGCGCAAGTCGCACCGCACAGTGCACACCCGAATGCAGGTGCTGTCACGCGGTGTCACCACCCGACATCACCAGCCTGCGTCACCGGCCAGTGTCACCCGTCGCTCTCAGAAGTACACCTGACAGATGTGCAGGAACAGCGCCAGAAACATTGGCACCGTCACTAGTGACGCCGTGTACTGCCAGAATATCACCGCCCCCATCTCCTCGTCATGATGCTGGTACAGCGTGCACAGCGCGTGTACGTTGAGCGCCGTGCTGGGGGGTTTGGGATTTGGACGGGTGGGTGGGAGGGGATGATTTAGCGATGATGGTTTTTGAGGGTGGAAGGGCGGGCCGGCTGGGCGCGAATGGGGGTGGCCTCAGTTTAGTTCCAAATCTTGCCACTGATGTGGTGTGACCCGTGGCCCCAATTGTCAAACGCTGGTCAGACGCACCCGGCGGCAGCGACGCCCTCTGAGCTCGCGGCACGCTTCACAATCGCGAGCAGCGCCCTCGAACCCGGGGTCTGCCAAACACCGAGGCTGTTGAGGCTTGGTCAACATCTTCGCGCGCATGATGCATATATTCATACCACCCATTATGATATGACATAGCTCACGGGACTGCGTTCTGCAGGAGGAGGACCAAAACGAGCAGCCTGGGAGTTGTCGCCGGCAGCAGCCCCGCGCCGCGCGCGGCCAGCAGCCACGCGGCCCCCAGCAGCGGCAACAGCACCAGCCGCGCGGCGGCGACGAGCGCCACCGCGCGTGCGGGCAGGCGGCCGCCGCGGCCGGGGCCGCGGGAGAGGGTGGCGCCGACGACGAGCATGAGGGAGGGGATGCAGCAGTCACCAAACATAGAGATGACTTCCTGGG